GCAGTCACACGCGCACACACACACACACACACACACACACACACACACACACACACACACACACACACACACACACACATACATACAGTCATTCAAATGTTCATGAATACATACAGTAATACATACAGTAATCACATGCACGTATCACAAGCCGTTCTCTTGGACACAACGATAATTCTACCGCGCGTTTCTTGGCTTACAGTTGATGCTTTTTCACACATGATTCAGATTCCACTATTTCCATTTTAAGTTTAGTTTTTTGAGCTTTTGTTTCACAGGAAAAGAGATAAGGAGAAAAATATAAGTATCGAGACCTAGGCACTCGCGAGGGTTCATTCCAATTACACATTTTCTTGTCGTCTTCTTCCTTAGAATCAGTCACAACTTCAACTGTTTCCAAGTTCCTTTTCTTATATATATACTCTATATGTCACCTACACCAGCAAGCCACTACTGCTTCTGTTCTCTCTTTCTATCTTTCCTCTCACTTCTTCGGTCCTCTCTAATCGACTTCCCTAAATCGAAGACGATTTATCTCCCTTATCATCTGCTGCCCCTTCTCTCATGTTCTGTCCATTCCCTCTCTTTATCTTTTATACCTCGATGACTTTCCCATTAACCTTTATCACTATTATCTCCTTCTATCCTTTTAATCTTCCTATCTTGCTCTGTCCCTGCTCTCTCTTCATCGTTCATTCCTCGACGACTCCGGAAACGAGGCCGAGGCAGCCGCAACGACAGGCACTGGCTTCTCTGCCCTCCTCCTTCCTCTCTCTCCTTTCCTCTCCTCTAAACGACCACTTTTCAAGGATGACGACGACGACTTTTCATCCCTCGACGACTTCGGTAATGAGGCAGCTGTTGGTGGTCCAGATCTCATCCCGAATTCTGTTCCTGAGCGCCACCATGTCGCCCTCCGTCTGGAAGTTGGGGTCGCACACGCCCTCGCGCTGCTCCTCCATGCACTCAAGGAACTCCTGCAAGAGTGTTCAAGGGCGTGAGTGTTGGTGTGGGGGGAGGGGGAGCCGGGGAGGGGAGAAGGGAGGGGGAGCGGACGAAAGCAGGCAGCGAAGGGAAAGGGGAGAAGTAGAGGGAGAGGGAAGGGGAGAAACAGAGAGAGGGAGAAGGGGAGAAACAGAGAGAGGGAGAAGGGGAGAAGAGGAAGCAGCGGGAAGAGGAGAAGGGAAGGGAAGAAAAAGGGACAGGGAAGTAAGGGGAGGGTAAGAGGGGGAAGGAGGAGCAAGAGGAAGATATGGAGGAGGAGGAAGGGAGAAGGAAAGAGGGTAGGAAGTCGGAGAGAGAAGGAGGTGACAAAGAGGAAAGCAGGGGGCAGGATGTGGAAGGAAGAAGAACAAAACCTGGAAACAAGAGGAGAGTGGAGGAGGAAGGGGGAAGCGAAAGAGGGGTGCGAAGAGTGAGTGAGTGAGTGAGTGAAAGAGAGAGAGAGAGAGAGAGAGAGAGAGAGAGAGAGAGAGAGAGAGAGAGAGAGAGAGAGAGAGAGAGGGAGAGAGAGAGAGAGAGAGAGAGAGAGAGAGAGAGAAAGAGAGAGGGGGGGGGGAAGAGCGGAGAGCGAAGGAAAAAGATACAAACGGAGAAAGGCAAGAGAGAGGGGGAAGAAACGATGCGGGAAGGTTATCCAACAAAGGAGGAGAAGAAAAGAACAAGGACTTTTTCCAAGAATAAAAAAAAAAAAAACAAGAACAGAAGTTTCGAATAAAAATCACAGTGAAAATAAAATGACAACAACCTCAACATACCACAGACTTCCCGTAAACAAAGTAATACAAAACAACACTTTATCATATCATCAATATCTTTATCATAATCAATACTATCACCCATCTATCACACAGAATATCAATATGATTTTACAGTAAATTATTCAACCAACCTCTCTATAGCGACACTTCAACAAGGATGTGTTCCCATGCACCAGACCGACTTTCTTGTAACACTCCTCGAGGTTGTGATACTGGCACGCTTCATTGCCACTCACTGCAAGAAATGTAGTTATGTCATCCCTTCGTGCAATCAGAAATCAATCGGTTCTGCATGCCATATGAATTATAAGATCCGTATATCCCCTGTATCTATTTCGGCTCCCTTTTTCTCCCTTTGTTGTATTTCAGTTTCATCTGTAGATTTATTAAACAATAGATTTAATAATATACAATAGTATTCCTTATTCAATGAAATTCTGAAACATACTACAAGGTTATATGTAAACCGGCAACATTATACATTCTACAGCACTCCACATTACTCAGCAATTCTCCGTCATATCCTAAATTATTCTACAACACATGGCCCCCTCGCCACGTGGATTCTACCGAAGGCAGTTCGAAGCGAAGGGGAAACCGACTCCTTCGGCGCTGATACGGTTCGAGTCGAAGAGAAAAACTTGGACAGAAATTGTGATTTACGAGAATGAGCTCTGGGCTTTTTTGTCTCTTCCTCTTATCTCTCTCTTGTCCTTTCTCTTTCTTTGCAGTTTCTACACTCTCTGGCTTTCTTTCTCTCACTCTCTCCGTCTGTTTTTTTTTCCTCTTTCTTCCTCTCTCTCTCTCTCTCTCTCTCTCTCTCTCTCTCTCTCTCTCTCTCTCTCTCTCTCTCTCTCTCTCTCTCTCTCTCTCTCTCTCTCTCTCTCGTCTTCTCAAAGTCTCCCTCATTCACTCTCTCTCTCTCCTTCACTATATCTCTCCCTCATTCACTCTCTTTATCCCCTCCTTATTACTCACTCTCTCCCTACCTTACTCTTCTTTCCTTAGTCACTCCACTTAACTCTATATCTCTTTCTCCCTTCCCTACTATACTTCCTACCTCCATCCCTCTCTTACAGCCTCCCTTCCTCCCTCCCTCCCTTCTTTTTTTCTCTCTCTCATTGTCTCCCTCACTTTCCTCCTCCCACTCCCTTCTACTTTCCTTCTCTCTCCTTCTCCCTCACATCCTGATAATTCTATAGTATTTTCGTAAACGCACGGATCTTTTCATCATTACCAATAATAAATGTGTTTTTAATATCCAAAGAAAAAAAAAGGTTCCTTTTTTACTGAAGTAAATTCATTGTGAACGAACATCTCTCTCTCAGACATTAGCAGAAGGAAAATCTCCGAACTTTAATGTAATGTCCATCAGTTCGTAATATTACTAATGAGGACTACCAATGTTAACTTTGACAGCGACGCGAAACTGTTGTCGCTGCACTCACTCGTGATGCTCCTGGTGATGAAGCTGAGCATCTCCTCGTCTTTCTTGCATTTCTTCTTCAGCTTCCCTTTCAGCTTCTTGCACTTCTTGCTCTTCTTCTTCTTCTTCTTCTTGCTTTTCTTCTTGCCTTCCCTGCCCCTCCTCTTCCTATCCCTCTTGACCTTCTTGCCCCTCTTGCCCCTCTTCCTCCTCTTCCTGGCCCCCCCGTCGTCCTGCTCCTGCGCCTCCGACGCGTTGCTGAACACAAGCGAGTCTGCGCGCATGCCCGTGGCGTACAGCAGCTCGTGGAACCGCGACGACGCCTCCAGCGACGTCGCCCGGACCACGTCATCGCCCTCTTCGTCCTCCTCGTCGTCCTCTTCTTCTTCCTCTTCGTCCTCCTCCTCCGAGACTTCCTCCTGCAGCTGCTGTAAGGCCCCCGTCCTCGCCACCAGATGCCGCGGGGGGACGTCCACGCCGCCCCTGGCCGCCCATCCCTCCCCTATTCTCTCGTCGCCGATATAGTCCTCTTCCTGCTCTACTCTTCTTCTCCCCCCTCCTTCTCCTCCTCGCCCACCCTCAGCCCCCCACTGGTCATCCCCGTGATGGTGTCGGTGGGCGTGCGAGGGCTTGGCCAGTTCTTCGGCCCCGCTCGCGGTGGGCGGCTTGTGGAAGGGGGCGCGGACGTCGCCCAGGGGCACGCTGCGGCGGTCGCGCTCCTCGTCCTTCCTGCAAGGGGGGGGGGGGGGGTAAGCATTTGTGTTTCATCCATATAATCAATGTTATTATTGCTATCATCATTATTCTAACGATCATTATCATCAACATTTCCATAACATTTACTGGTCTTCGTATTATTATTTTCATCTCTACTACCTTCATCATCATCAATATCATCATTCTCTTCATTGTTGGTATTATCATCATGATTAATATATTCCTCCTCATCATTCTTATAATCAATAACAATATCAACATCATCACTATTTCTATCACTAGCTATCAAAATTAACGCCTAATTCTCAGCAAAATTAAATAAACATCCATGGTAGGAGAGTTATCTTATCATGATAAAAATCTGAAGGTAATATAACTTAATTACTCTACTCGTAAATGGATATCACAGGAAGAGGAAGAAAGTAAGTGGAGGTAAAAAATAGGTAGACAAATATATAGATAAAGAGAGAGAGAGAGAGAGGGAGAAAGAGAGAGAGAGAAAGAGAGAGAGAGAGAGAGAGAGAGAGAGAGAGAGAGAGAGAGAGAGAGAGAGAGAGAGAGAGAGAGAGAGAGAGAGAGAGAGAGAGAGAGAGATACAAGCAGATACACAAAGAGAGACAAACGGAGATGGACAGGCAGACACACAAACAGACAGACAAAGACAGACAGACAGACAGATAGAAAAAGTAAGAAACAGAAATTTTGATCGACCAAATATGGATCAGTTCGAATATACAATAGCAAGTACTCATGAGTATTGGGGACTAGGTATCTTTGCCACATTACATTTACAAGTGATCAGTCTCTACAAATATGTTTATATCAGGTGAAATAGCGCTCCATTAGCCGTTTTATTATTGTCAGATTCTTGGCATACCGTATTGATATAGTTGCGACCTTTTTGTTCCCAACCCTCCTCGTGTTCCATTCGAAATTCTCGCGTCTTGATTGACTAGAAGGTTGTGACGTGGCGGTATCTAAGTGGCTGAGTGGCCGCGCAGTGCGGACATTTGGTTGGACGTATGGTTGTGACGTCACATTCGGCGCGATGAAGACAACCAATAGGGTTATCGCAAGAGCAGCGCCTGACGTCATGA